GAATTAGGGCTTGAGATTGATAGACTTTAAATGAGGATTTGAGGGGTCATTTGGACTCCAATTTTAGTGTTCTTGATATGTATAGACTTGTAGGAGGATAAGGATTTCGGTGATGTAATTTTTATCGAGTTTTGAGACGTGGGCTCGGGGGTCGAGTTTGGCCAATTTCGAGATTTTTGGTATTATTTGATTGTTTTCGCTTCGGGTTCGTTCCCTTAGCATATTTTGACGCCGTGATTCTGATTTTGGATAGATTCGACGTGAATGGAGGCCGATTCGAGGGGCAAAGGCATCACGGAGTAGTATTTTCACCGGTTTGAGGTAAATAACTATTGTAAATCTGGAATTGAGGGTACAAACCACGATATTTGACTTGTTTTGATAAATACGGTAATGCACATGCTAGGTGACGAGCGTGTGGGCGTGCACCAGTAGGGATTATGACTTGGTCCGTCCCGTAGCGACTATTAAGCCACGTATTTGATTTGGAACCTTATGATATTCCATATTTTAGTTATTTATACTATATTATGGGATGTATACCATGTTTGGGACCTTGTGCCGACCTGTTGAGACCCTTAGGGGCATTTTAACTGTTTTCCTCACTTTACTTGTTGAAAGCATATCCCCAGTCATGTTTTACCTGTTTAAATGTTTAAAACCAGTTTTATCACTCCACTTCTAATTGTGAGGACTGTTTGGGCTGAGTTCCCTAATTTCTATTGTTGTGCCCGAGAGGAGGTGAGGTTAATGACTGAGAGGTTGAGAACCTAATAGTGAGGATATTATATGTATATATTATGGATCGGGCTGCACACAGCAGCGATACTTATATAGGATCGGGTTGCACACCGCAGCGATATATATATACTGGATCGGGCTGCACGTCGCAACGATATATGTATATTGGATGGGGTATAACACTTGGGCTGTAGGAGCCCCTCCGAAGTCTGTACACCCCCAGTAAGCGTAGTCGACTATAAATTACGAATCGGGCTGCACGCCGCAGCGGTTACTATGATTTTTATTACTATGAGATATTAATGAGCCTCAGTGCTGAGAGTGAGTATTGAGTGACGACAGTTGAGTCTCGAGTGACTGAGAGGCTGCCCGAGAGGCCATATTCTAAGTGATACCTTGCCTGAGGGACCCAGTTATGATATTTTTACTGATTTCACTCTTCTGTTAAAATAAGCCTCTGTTGGAAAAATTGCTAAGTATATGATTTCAAGTGTTTTTAACTGAAATTTGATGATTTTAAGACGAAACTGGTTTTAAACTGTGAAGTTGGCCTGTTATCCTGTTGGTTTCTTCAGTTATATGATTTTTAACTGCTCGTTACTACTTTCAGACCTTATTTACTTTAGTTACTTACTGAGTTGGCGTACTCATGTTACTCCCTGCACCTTGTGTGCAGATCTAGGTGCCCGAGCGGCAGAGTGAGGGTCCTCAGCATTGTCAGAGTTTGCCGGAGACTGCAAGGTAGCTACATGGCGTCCGCAGCCCTGCTTTCTTCCTCTTATCCTTGTTTTCCCTGCATTTTAGACTTGTTATGTATTAGACGGTCAGATTTGTATATTTAGAGGCTCTAGACTCATGACACCAGATTATGGGGCTGTGTAGTTTCCTGTTTATTTGACTTCCGCATATTTTCTGTTGCTTTAAACGTTTATAATGAAATTTGGTATTTAAAACCTGTGTTAGAAAATGACTTATTGTTAAAGGAAAAGGGTTGTAATTCATTGATTGGTTGGCTTGCCTAGTAATGTGATAGGCGCCATCACGACTGGTATTTGAGGGGGCTCGTGACACACTCCTAGGTAAATAACTTAAGTAGAACCACGTCATTGATTTGGAATAGATTTTAGCCCAAATTAAACTTGACTTTTAGCAGCTTCTCGGGTCTAAGTTGAATTCCATTGTCACAAGCACGTTAAAATGTTTACAAGGCATCTCTGAACCTTTTAGATCATCTTCTAGCAGTAGTTCTTGATATCCAATTAAGTCCAGCTAATCTTGAAGCTCTTTAGCATGCGACTTCTCATAGGATGTACAGGAGATCGATCATTAGTAGCTTCCCGACGAGCTTGCAATTTCCTCAGAGTATTATCAAAAAACCTTCTCCAACATATATTTCGCTGCTAATGACATCCAAAAAAGACCTTAACACGTTCGATCTATCTTAACTAGCTATAGTGTTTTAAAAATATGTCGTGTGTTGCGCAAAAATATTCTAGAGCTGGTCCTCAAGATAAAATGAGAAGTTATTAAGAATATTACTCTCTTTATTCCAAAAATGATTTTTATTACTTGGAGAATTAAATAAATTTTTTTTTTTTTGTAAAAATGTTTAATTTACTAAAACGTTTTACCGAATACAAAGTGTAGTATTATTTTTATGTAATTTTTGAATGCTTTCCAAAATTCAGGAAAAAATATTGTCCAAATTACAAGGAAGAGTAGATGCAATTAGGCTCATATTCTTTTATATTGGAGGAAGTGTATATTGAGAAAATGTTAAAGATATTATATTAATTAGGTTTCATTCTTTTTCTAAAGACTGCTTCATGGAAGTTATGTGCTTCTTGAATCAATTATATTACTCTATTAGCACTTATCAATAAGAACTATTTACCTCCCATAGTTGGTCTTATTAATTAATCAGTTGCGAACATATTAATTTGATGTTATAGTGTTACTTCCTTCCTATCATATTTTCGTTTCAAGTATATGATAAGATTTATATATTTCCTAGTTTCCTGTTCATTCCCTAACATGCAGTAAATTTTTTCTTTTTATTTTTAAATATTTTAGGTGGTAGTCCTTATATTATTGCTTGAGTCTGGACCAAATGCGTCTCAATAAAACTCGTGGCCTAAAGCCAAACTTTAATTAAGGGCCTTGATTTTATTTTTTTTGTCTATAGTATAGTTATCTTGTAAAATATAGTATGTAATATTACATTGGTTCCTTTCTTTCTTTCTTTCTTTTTATCTATAGTATAGTTATCTTATAAATTATAATATTAATATTCACATTGGTAATAAAATTTAAGTTAATAAGATGTTAGCCACGTACTTATAATTGGTTACGTTGGATCTTATTGTAAAATAATGTTATTTATCAATATGAAGATTTGAGTATCTTAATTCAAAGTTCTAAATAATTCTATTGTTAAAAAATAGATAGTCTTTCTTTATAAGGATTTAGTATTTTTGTTTTCTTTTTCTATAAACTTCAATATTGTCTAAACGAAAATAAGATAGTAAACCTACAACTAAAAATATTTTTGGGGCCCCAACATTTAGGGGGCCTAAAGCAAAAGTTTTACTAGCCTCCCCCTCGAGCCATCCCTGATCTGGACTATTAACTTCTTAACATCAATTCAAAGCATAACTTAATTCCCAAATTATATAAATTGTAAGTAAACTTGCGTGGTGTTTATTTATTGATGTTAAGTGAGATAAAAATTATTTTAACCATGTTGTTAACTTATTTGTGCACCAAGCCGAAATGTATAGTTTGAATGATTGCAACTTGAACTAAAAATTGGGAGGATAGGAGGGGAAAAAAAGAAGAAGCAAATTTCCCAAACTATCTTGAAAATATATTTTTGCTCGCTCAAGTAAAAACTCATTCATATTTGATGTTTAGATCATATCATATATACTAGTTTACCATGATAAGTCATGAATTAACGTGAGAATGTGTATTAATGAACCATAGTTTAGTGATAAGTGTGTATATGAAGACGTATATCATGTATTCATTGAGTTGGTCTAACAACTGCTCGACACCCTCTATGCGAAGATTTATCCAAAATCAAAATGCTCAGTTTTCGTCCTCCTAGCCAATTCTATTTATTTTTCAAAAAAGCCAATTTCCATCTCATTAAATATGCTTGTATTTATTACTAGTAATAGAACTTTCCTAACCCAGAGTAGAAAAATGTTAGGCAATTATTATTAATTTTTTGGTCAGAACTGTTAGGCATTTTTGGCGCATAAAAGATGTTTGTAATTTTGAAAAAAAGGGGTAGCGGAAAAAAGGAAGAAGGGTAAAACGTATGTTTTAAAATTAAGTTGTAAGGAGGAGAAAGTGCTATTATAATTTTGATATAATTAAATAGGTAGAAGAGCAGGCACAAGTGAATTATTTATTTAAGTTTTTCAGCCATTCTCGCGCGAATCTAGGTGTAGAAAAAGTTGAACAAAAGGTGTAGAAAAGAAAATAGTAAGTATTTCTTAAATTATGTATGCATAATTTCCAATATATTATTCGAATCTCACCGCAATGGTAAGAACTTATGTATATAGTAGAAGCACATGTGTAAATAAATATAAACGGCATCGTTTAGTAATGCAAGTTTAATGCATTACTTAACAATGTCTGATATGATTGATTTACTTGCACTTCTGACGTGTCATTGCCTATGATCATTTTATTTTATTTTCCTCTTCACTCTTTACTTACTAAAACACACTTACGCGAATTTTGGTTAGCAGTTAAGCGTGTTTAATATTTAGCCAAAGTTGAAGACTAATGACTTGATTCATTAGATTTTTTAAATATGAAATTTTTGACTTTAAAGAATTTATAAGTAAATCACAAAATATTGAAATAAAAAATGATCATACATTTTACGCAATAAATAAATAAAATTGTATTGAAGCTCCCTCATGTATAATTTTCTTAAAGGACATAAGAACCTCATGAAAAGTGTAAAATTAAAAGGCCTTTCATCTATTGCTTTTGTAAATCAAGATCCATGCAACTGCTTTTTTGTTCTTGTTATAATCTCTTACTCGCCGCGATGCGAAATACATTAAAAGGGACAATAACAATAATAATAATTATTATTATTATTATTATTATTATTATTTATTGTTATTTTAAGATTATGAGAATTCAAAGGGTGGTCCTCTCCTTGGTGAGTACAACTATAAAAGGATGTCATAAGGTTTCTCTCTACATCCCATTCACAGAGTTCAGTACTATTGTTGTTTCCTCTCTTTCTGTGAACTCTGTGACAATGCTTCCCCTTGTGCCTTTTGCCATGAATGACAACGCTCGTCAATACAGAAGAATCCCAATTCTGGACCGTCATTTTCAGGAACCACTAAACCCTTTACCATTGAACAATGTACCAGCCTTGGCTAACCAAAACCACCAACCTCTGATATTTTATGGAGGAATGAATGTGATGAATAATGATCATGATAACCATCTTCGTTTCTTTGATGGTAATGTGCCTCATGTTGAACAAGAAGTTGACCAGCCTAGATTGGTCAAACCTCGCATGAAATGGACTGAAGAGTTGCATGAAAGATTTGTCAATGCTGTTGCTGAACTTGGTGGAGCATGGGGTTAGTAACTTTTTACTTTTTTATTTCTATATATATTTAGTGTAACTACTGTGTGTTTGCATGTTCTTTTTTTTCTCATTTGTTGTTCGGTATTTGTATTGGAACTCCGATTAATTTGAATCCGCGTTGTGTCCGTGTTGTGTCCCCGCTGTTAAAGGGAAAACGCTCCATATCAGGATCTTTTCCATTTTCAGGACTCAGAATCCAAGGACTCTAGTGAACCGTAGAGAGATCCTATCCATCTCATCACAACCATTTGTGATATGTTTGCGTATCAATAGTAATAACTAACTAGTATGCAAATCTATCTTTCTCAAATACTAATTAATACTTGGCCGAAAGGCGGCTCCTCATATGAAATCCTTTTTATTTTGTGGAATTCAGTTATGGTGATCATTTATTTTGTTTCGCTTTTTACAATCACTTATTTGCGCTTAATAGATCTGATTCGTTCAGATTTTATGCAAAAATTTAAACATATAACGTAATGAAAATTGTAAATTTTAGAGATGTAATTTTAACATACTCCAAAATATCACTTTACTTATGTTTTAGGTTACTTATGTTTCAATCTGTTTGCAGAGGCTAAGCCAAGGGCGATTAAGAGAAAAATGCAAGTCAGGGCATTAACTCTGTACCACATTAAGAGTCACTTACAGGTATATATCTTGTAATAATCTTTAATTAATTAATCTTCATTCTTCATAGAGTTTTAATACTAATTAATCCAATATTCTAATATTACTCAAAATATGTTATTCTCTGCAGAAGTATAGAATGGCGCAGGAGCCGGATGATGCGAGAAGGAAGCCGATGAGTATATTAGCCTTCCATTTCTTCTTTTTCTTTTCTTTTACCCCTCACGTCAATTACCCACTTTGCTCTCTCAGTGACTCGAGCCTGTTCCATTTCTTCCTTAGCATTGCCTTGGGGGTGGGGGTGGGGGGGTTACATAGTGATATTTCAAATCATGCTATTGTTTTAAATTAAATTAATCCTGAATCCTTTATCAAAACCCTTATCATATTTATTTCATGCCTACTTTTTCATGCCATAAATTGATATAAGATCTCCATGCTATTTTACTGATATGCTTAATTAGGTCAAATTTTTACCTCTTTCATTTAATTGATTCATTTATTTTCTGGAAATAGAGAAGCTATCGTTGGAAGAGAGACAACAAAAGCTGCTCCACGAGGTGGAGGTACGTTCCTCGCTCACTTCTTGATTCTCTTAAGGAACTAAGAATATATAAGCGAAGAAAGATCTTTTAACTAATGTCAGGTTAATTACCTGATATAATGGATAACAGTGATCTGATAGTATAAAATTTGTTACATTATCTTTTTTATTAGTTAAACTCATGAAGAAAAGAATTAGTGATAAGTAAATCGAGTTCAACTTGATGATAGTATATATTAATGTAGGAGCAGATGAAAAAAGTTGCGACGAAGTTCCAAACAATGCTACCTTTCGAGGATCAAGCTGGTTCCTCAAAGTTTGTGCCTATGTTGACTCAATTTCCATCGATCCCGCTTGCTCCTCCTCCTGCTGACGTCTACATCCCTCAGCCTCCAACCGAGGCGGCGAACGAACATGTTCTACCTGGAATAGAAGACATGGTGGCTCAGTCTATTGCTGAAAACTCTGTGGAAGATTTTCTCCGTGCCTTGGAATTGGCTCCCTAAATTTTGAAATTGGTGATCATATAGAGTGTTTGTGAGACTGCGCAAGCCTTTATGTGATTCCTGATTTTGAAGTTTGTTTTTGACTTTATTTTTATTTTTGAAGCAAATAAAACACCCAACTTGTTTGGGACCGGAATAGTTATCCAACTTGTTTGGGACCGGGATAGTTATTGTTGAAGCAAATAATCATTGTGCCTTCGGGGACATGATAAAAAAGTTATTAATAAAAGTTGAGTTTTATCTTCTTATATTTGTCTTCTTTAATAAAAGTTATCAATGCTTCCATTTTCCCCCATTAAAGGTAGATATTATTTGAGCAAAAGTGCCCATAGGAAAATAATTTTCCCAAGATACTTCCTCTGAGGGAAAATTTCACATTAGAACAACTGAGCTCCCTACTTTATAATTTTATAATCCATATTTCAGTTTACAACCATCTAGCACAAAAATAATCGGCTAAGATTCAGCATCCAACTTCAATTGGTTCTAGAAATTACTATTTAATTTTTAAAAAAGATTGCTCAAACTTTTAAGTTAATTTTCGAATCAGTAGTTGTGACTCAAATATTAGTTCAACAAACTAAATCCATTTGGATGGTGAAAATTAGATTTTTAACAAGTTTAAATATGTGGGTTTAAATTTCGAACTTGATTTTGTGAGAAATTTGGAGTGAGTGTTATTTAGACTTGTTAGAAATAGTATAAGGAGGTTGTATATAAAATTTAAAGTCATTTAATGGAGATTTGGGCTGGTTTTGAACAAGAATTGCAACTGAAAATCGTGGAAGAAGTTCATCTACAGACGCTTATATAAAGGTGTATAAAATTGTATAAGATGTATTTATACACTCATATACACTATTATACATAATTATACAAAAAACTGGCTTCGTCTTCTTCTTTGCGTCTTTTCTAAAATTTAACTCAATTCTAGCTCAAATATACTCCAAATCACTTCAAATTTAAATTTTGAACTCCTTTTGATATTTTCAATCATTTGGAACAACACCCTATCCAAACAACTAACAAACTCAAAAAATCCTATTTTCGAAAGCCAAGCTTTGAATGGCCTTCAATGGTGGACTTCTACACTTCTACTTTTCAATTTTCTTACATTGCAACCAAGTGACACAAGGTAAGAAGCAGCAATGGCGGACGATCTCTTGAAGCATATGTAGAAGATATGAGAAGAAGAGAGAGTGAAAGCAATGGTTGTGAGAATACAAATTTAACTCCATAGCTTTTAGAAGCAATGGTTGTAAGAACATAGATTTTGAATTTGCTAGTGCTTTCAAAATATGCACAATATAGGCTAGGTTGGGTAAAACTTAAAAACGGGGGCCATTTTTTGTTATGGTGTGAAGTCATGTGTATTTTCTTGTAATTCTTTCTTCCTTTAACTAAGTAATGGAAAACTTAGTTAAGTTATGTGCTAGTTTGTTTAGACTTCTAGGAATATAAACAAATTTGACACGATCACGCAAAGTTGAGAGCTTCCAAATGTCTTCACAAGTCACTTCTATCTCCCATGAGATATTAATTTTTTTCTGGATCATATCTATAACAGTCTTTGTATCTGATAAAATTTTCACCTTCTTCCAACCATTTGTACTTGCACGTTCAAGAGCCATTCTTATCGCAAGCGCTTCAGCGGTCGTGGCTTTTCTCACAAACTGGATTGGGGATCCAGTGGCATGAAGCAGATTCCCAAGGCCATCTAAAGCCGCACATCAATACTCGCTCATCTAGCATCTATCTGTAGATTTGCATCAGTAAATAATAAAATATCATCTTGGTGGTTTTTTAGTTGAGCAGTAAAACAATTCTCATTTTGAGAATTAATCGATGAGCAAGTAGCTAAAATTTCAATATACTCATGATAATCAAATAGAGATGGCAAGATGGACTGATTGACTCCAGGAGCTAGATATTTTACTCTTCTTAGAAAATTATTCTTATATGGGAGAATTGGAAAATGGAAGTGAAAGGAATCGAAAAAATGAGACAGTGACTATGGTACCAATATATATATTACCAGAAACTCTCATAAGTGATAAGACGATTAAACAATGTACTTAATTTATTTATTTTAACTTGTAAAGTTAGTATGTACAGAAATTACATTTTAATATCAAAACAAACTTAAAATTCGCTAGTAAAATTGCATCGTAGAGAAAAACCATCAATTAGTTTTTAAGAATTCTAGGCATAACGACATGAAAGAAAAGTCAAAATTGCAAACACAAATTACAGTGCCATCAAACCTAATTCTTGGTTAAGAAAGTTATTTGATACTTGGTTGATATCGAAATAATATGTAACCAATTGATTAAGATGTACTCAAGCTGGTCAAGATGATGGAATTAATTTTAAAAAAGGCAAAATGGCCAAGTCCAATGCCCTTAAAACTTGCATAACTGAAAAAAAAAATCATTTTAACACTTCTACATGAGTAATTTGACCTATCTTTGGGAGAGAATTTGATCTTTTTTATTTACTTTTTATCTTCTGTTTGGGCAGTTCAGTCCACTAAGTTTCCGCTATACACTATATTTTGTTATATTTTATAATTATTTTTATTTTAGTATTCTTTAATAAAAATATCTCCTATCTACGCGCTCTTGATGAAGCGTGATTAGCACGCACTTTCGCTCCATATAAGCATGGTCCAAAATTATCCCTTAACTATTACAAATAAAATAAATATATCCTTGCCGTTAGCAAACCAGCCCAATTATGGTCATGTCTCGTTAAGGGTTCCATGTCTCATATATCCTATTTTATAACTTATTTCTTTGTTGAGATGGACTCCACCTTGAAAAAAAGATTATCTTGGTCACTTATTTCTTATATCTTGTATTTTCTCATTCATTAGAAAGATGTATTTTTATTTTTTTTAGCTTTCTTCTTTATAAAATCATAGCAAATATGTGTGACCTAATTGTCACTCCTAATAAAGTGGGGAAAAATTCATAAAAAATCTAAATTCAAATTTCAACAGAATCATAAAGGTGATTTTAATCTGTTTATCTATCTAGTTTTTGAAGGGGAGTTATTTGATGTATTGATAAAAGGTAGCATGTATGTATGAAATGGTTGAGTTGCATGCAAATAAGTTCAAACAAAAGAGATCATTTTCGATAGCATAGATAAAAATCAAAGAAGTGACAAACACATTGATTCACATATTTGATACATATGTTTGAGCTAATTTGCGTGCAGATTAACTATTTCATAAATATTTATTACCTTACATCAATACAAATATTGAATAACACTATCCTGCAAAAATTAGACAGATAGATGAAAAGAAATTACTTTTTTTTATAGTTCTATTCTAATTTGACTCCAATTTTTCATGAATTTTTATCCCACTTTATTAGGAGTAAAAAATAGTCACACATATATGATATGAAATTTTGTGGAGAAAAAAGCTCAAGAACAAATAAGGTTAATCTTTACAATAAAAGAAAGAGGAATTTGTCACGACTCGAAATCTCAATCAATTGGTGTTGTGATAATGCCTAATGTTGGTGTTAGAAATGAAAAAGAATATCCTCTTGAATTCTCCGATGAAGATATGAAGAAAGACAATGGAGACAAAATCGGCTAGGTTACTTATGTTTTTGATTTGTGTCTAAGAAGAGTGTATATCTTAAGGAAAGGATGGGTCAGACCTTTTTGGACTTGGACTCAACTCTAAACGGGCCTCTTTTGTTTTGGACTTAGTTCTACATCAAATGGGCCTTAAAGCTTCAGTTATTTCATTGGTCCATTCTAAGACAAACCCAGAAGATAGAAAGAGATATTTTACATAGTAGATAGAATTATTCTTTTGTAAATATTGTTTTAGTCTGCTACAAAAGTTTGTTACAGTAGCTATTAGGAATAGGCTAGTAAAATACTGCCACTTGGCAAAGTTTGTTTAGACTAGATTCTATTCTTTTATATATATTAGATTACACTGTGTAGAGAAATACACATAAAAATTTTCCAAAATTCACTCTCTTTTCATTCTCTTCATGGTATCAGAGCAGGCTTGAACTGCTTCATTTTTTCACGATCCTTCCACGATTTTGCTGTTTCGTTTTTGCTTTTTTCTCTTCAGCTATGAGTACCACTAGACAGACTCTGGATCCTCTCGCATGATCCATTTCCACAGTCGACCCAGTTGTACCAGCAGCTTTAGTTATGAGTGGAGTGGTTGATTCATCACATCCCTATTACCTTCATCCCTCGGATTATCCAGGGATGAATCTTGTGTCCACAGTTTTTGATGGAAGAAGCTATGATGGATGGAGAAGAGCTGTAGTAATTGCTTTATCTGCAAAAAATAAGCTGGGCTTTATTGATGGAACTCTTACTATTCCACAAGCTGATTCTAGACATCAACAGACTTGGGCAAGGTGTAATGACATGGTATTGTCATGGCTACTCAATTCTCTACCTAAGAAAATAGGTGAGAGTGTTCTTTACTCTCAAAGTGCCAAGGACTTGTGGAGTGATTTAGAAGACAAATTTGGACAAACTAATGGAGCTAAGTTATTTCAGTTACAAAAAGAACTTAGTTTGTGGTACAAAGTAATTCTAGTGTATCAACCTATTTCACTAAGATAAAAAGCTTATGGGATGATCTTGATACCTTGAACACTTTCTCAGCATGTGTTTGTGAATGTGAATGTGGAGCTAAGGTGAAGAATTAAGGCATAACAAGATGAAAGGTTGTTGCAGTTTTTGATGGGTTTGAATGACATATTCATAGGTGTTAGGAGCAATATTTTGTTGTCTTCACCCTTACCTTTCATTGGGCAGGTCTATTCACTAGTGATACAGGATGAGAAGCAGAGGGAGATTCATGTTGCTCCTGCATATCCAGGAGAATCTGGATCCGTTCTTGCTACAAACCAACAAGGAAATAGAAGAAGGTTCAATGAAAATAAGGGACAAAAGGGTTTTTGATCCTAGAAAGAATGTTGGAATATGTACTTATTGCAAAAAAA